GCCCCTGCAGCCAGAGGACAAAGCCAGGAGCTGCAAACAGTGGCTCTGATTGCCTGTGAGCCACACCCTCTAAGGCCTCAAGGGCTCCAGGGTCCAGCAAGCAGAAGGCAGTTGGAGTGTGACATGGCAGTGGAAGAAGACCCAGGACAAACTGACCCAACAGCTAAGTGATTGACCCTGAGAGATATCTGACTTCAACCTGTCACATAGTGCTTGGGACTCCCGGAAATACTCAGGGAGGCAACGTCATTTGGAACTGAACTTCCAGCAGCAACCCACAGGCCTGAGAGCCCTTGAAAACCCTGGCCAACTGACATTGTCCTGATTTCTGAATCCCTGTGTGCTCTGCATTGTGTAACAAGTGACTGCTTTAACAGCTGACTTTAGGGAGGCCTGGCTTACCAAAGGAATGAGCATTACTGCACTAAACAGATCCACAAATAAAGAGATATGGCTCCTTCATTTTGAAACATTAGAATGCAATAAAAATAAACTTTCCATAGAATTAAGGTGACTCTTTTCCATGTGGTAGCATATATACCCACAGGCCGAAGAAGTGCATGAGGGTGTCAGACAAATCAGAACACACATCCTGTTTCGGAACAGGGATAATGATTTGGGAAGACCTTGTTCTAAGCCTTATGGTGGTAAATAACACTTTCAGCAAGACTCCTGGCCTGTAAGAATCTGACATAAACTCCCATTTCTTTTTACCAACTGCATAAGTAGCATACAACACATGTGACTTTTCACACATTCCCCCTTTTCTCCCCTCAGTTGATAATTCTCATAATGAAAGTTTCAGGGTTCTTTTTGTGAGAATATTTGGAGTTTCTTCATTCTTTTCCTCAGGAGCCATACCTGTAACAGCAGACACCCTGTAGTTACCCTTGGAGCTCAGGTTGCCTTGATAATTTTTTACCAAGATTGAAAAGAAAGACATTTGAAGACTCCTCCTAGAAATGGCACTTGTCCAAGCCTGGGTGACTCAACTCAGTCCACATTCAGTCCACATTCTCCTCTGGGTCTTTGTCACTTAATAACACACAGCTCAGTTTCCTTGTTTGTGAAATGAGGAAAGCAACACTTTCTATGTCAATGTTTTCAGGACTGAGAAAGATAAGGCACATAAAGCATTTAACACATCATTGGTGCAGTTTATACTTCCAGGAAAAAACATCAGAGTAGTCCATCTCTTCTCCCGCCTCTCAGAAGGAGCTTCCACAGCTCATGGCCATCAGCTCCTCCAGCACCCGGACAACGAAATCAGGTGCCCACGTGTCCCCAGGATAGCTGGGAAGCATGGTCTGTAGACAACCTGCTGAAGACAGATGAAGAGCCCCCATTGCCAGGAAACAAGATGCGAGCTCTGCCCTCTCCTCTGAGGACAAGACCTGCTTCTGTTATGTTGTACTCATGAGAAGAGAATTGTTGACCTGCCATCACACAAAAGGAGCATGAGGGAGCAGGGACTGCTGGGCCTTTGAAACTCACCCTGCTGCCACCTGAAAGAGCTAGTTGTCTCCAATTATTGTGTCTTATTTCCTGCCAAAAGGAAACACAGCTTCTCTGTGACACATCAAAAACAGCTCCAGACTTAACCCTAGATGCTTAGATTTCCAAAATAGCTCTCCCCCCTGCCGCCCCCACTGGTCAGCACAGCCCAGTTGAGCTAGAAAACAAACTTCCTGGGGTGTGTGTGCTTCCCTCCTGGTGGAGACAGGGTGGGTGGCCTCTGTGGAGCTCTTGTCGTGGTGAATTAAAAACCCGCTACAGGACCTGAGAGCTTGAGAGTTTAGCTTTTCTCACAGACAACACTGACTCTCAAGCGAGGGATTCTTGGCAGAGGCTGAGGCTCTTCTTGGTATTCTGAACACCAGAATGAATCCCTGTGAGATAGCTCTGCTTGAAAATGGTATCCCATCATTTTGGAAGTTCATTGAAACAAGCCAAATTATTTAAATTAGGAAGCCAGAATCAGAAGTAGAGCCAGAACTCTGACCCAGACACTCTACTACTGGATGTGGATACCTCAAATGGCATCATATCTTTAGGCCAAATGCTCATCCCATCTTTTTCTTGCCAATTACAATGGCTAGTTTTTATTTTCCATCCTATCTCTCTCAAACATCCCAATAGTCCCTTTTTGTAGTCTCCTTCTCTCATCTCCACCTTGAACTTGGAGAACACAAGTAACTTCCAAGACAGCCTCTCCTCCTTCCAGCCGTGCCCCCATGCCAGGTCCAGTCTGGCTAGGACCCTTTCTGGTAGACTACTGCACATGGTCTGGTTGACAGAATCAGGCAGTGGCTGGGAAGATGTGATCTGGAATCGAGGTTGGCAGTACCCTAACCTGACGTACTGCTCCCATTCTCTCATTGACCAAGCCAAGGATATAGCCTCGCTGCCTTTTAATGAGGCAGTCATGTGAGGTGGATCAGGGAAAAGCCAGGATGTATTTACTATTACTTCTGGTGCATGCATAAGTCATAGTGGGTATGGGTTGATCAGGCTCTGCAGCAGCATCAGCTGGCAGATGCTGGCACTGGGAGCTAATTCTGTCAAGCCAAACTGCAGAACCCCCTGGAGAGTGCATGACCCGGGTGTGAGAGTGGGCCCAGTAGGGAAACAGTGGGCACCTCTCTCTTGGGTTGCCACTCAGTCTGGTGAGCATGAGAACCAGGATGGGGGTAGGCATGGCTGGACAGAGAGTGGCACCCACTGGCACATGTATGGGCTGGATAGTGGGGCTGATTGGGTTGAACTAGGCTTCAATGCTCATTGACATGTATGAGAGCTGAATGGGTTGTGGGACAGACTGAACCAGTCTGCTGTACATACATGTAAGCACAGGAACTAGGGCACAGGCAGGGCCTGGTGGGGGTTATTGTGGGTCGCTCTGACTAGGCTGCATCTCCTAATGGTTTGCATGAGGGCCGATTATTTGGTTGGCAGGATCAGGCTGTGCTCCAACATTCATTGATTTGTGTGGAAGACAGGCCTGGAAACAGAACTGACCCAGCAATTGCAACCACCAGCACATGCATAGGCTGACTGGCGTGACAGTCTGAGCCAGACCCTATACTGGCAAACACACAAGAATCTGATCTGGGATCACCTCAGAATTTGAGCAGTGCCCTCGGAACATACCCCACGTAGGGGACCTTGGGATGGTTGAGAGGGTGGGTGTGACTTCTCCCTTTGTCTCTCTTCTTTCCTCTGATACAGGAAGGAAAAAAAGAGAATGTGGAAACAGTGGTCTTACCCATTTTCCTGTAGCCTTTGACCCTCTGAGCCCTAATCAACTATGTAAAAGATCATCAAAATTAAAAAAATAATAAATAAGCAAAAACAAAAAAAATGAGGCAGCTGCAGTCTTCTAAGCTCTTAAGAACTAAGCATTCAAATTGTACCCTACAATGACAGAAGCTGTGCTAGAAATTAATCTGCACAATGGCTTATGTGTGTGCAAATGGTCTATGTAAAATATATGTATATTTATGACTTTTATACATCTTACATATAATACATCTTATGTCCATTATGAACATACAATGGCACATCAAAAAGCTTATGAGAAATGGAATTAAAAGGTAAATTTATTCTAGTGCAAAAATTTTTGAAATCCATTCATAATATGCAGTTTAATCATGCAGTTTCAATGACAATTCAGAAGGCCCTCTGTCTATACAGAGAATGCCTCCGATCTTTGAAAAAGGAAACAAGAAGCTCATCCCTTCTGAATTTTGTACTAAGTGCACTTGTTAGCATCTAAGCAAAACAAAAGACCAGGCAAGCATTTAGCATAGCACTTAAGACTGTGCTTGGGATACCCACCTCTCAGTAGAATTTAAGTTTGTGTCCCAGTTCTGCTTTTTATTCTGCCTTCCTGCTAGTGTGTACCCCAGGCAGCAGCAGGTGATGGCTTAAGTGTTTGGGTCTCTGCTACTCCTGGCTTCAAATTGGCTTAGTTCTGAGTACTGAGGGCATTTGGGAGGGAATCAGAATATGGAAGATTCTCCCCCTCTCTCTGCCTTTTCAAATAATGAATAATAAATAAATAAATAAATAAATAAATAAATTTGGCTTTAGACTAAATAATCCAACAGAAGATAATTTACTTTTGAAAATAGCTTTTTTATTTGTAAGGTTCTTTCCAGGTTTCATATCTAGAGTCATCTTTATTATAATAATAAAGTACTTCAACAAAGAACAGGAACTTGTATTCAAATGCATGCTGGCCAACCTAAATACACATGGCCGTACTAACTACACAAATGTTTTTCTAAACAAACACCTTTTCCCCCTATTAAAAACCTGGCACTGAGTTTGGTGCCATTGAGAGGAAAGATAAAGAGCACAAAATCAAAGTCCTGGTGGAAGGAATCACCGAGGACGGAGAAGGAGAGAAGACACGATGAAGCCACCGACTACTCCTGGACTTGCTCTTCATGTGACCACTTGATGTTGCTGTTCTTTGTCTTTCGGAAATAACATTAGTTTATGTTCTTGTGTGGCCGGTCTTAGAAGTCAAGTGGAAAGCATCTCTCTTAGAAATGAACCCCAGGATCAGACAAAGTATAGAATCTTCGGGGGCAGAACCTTCAGCTATTCCACCCAGTTCCTTTTCTTTCCTTATCAGTCTCCCAGAAGGCATAGAGAAGATGCAAGGCAGGTGAGCTTCTCACATCTCCACTCTGATGGAGATGCATCGGTGACAAGGAAAACTCAAGGGATAACTGAGGCACTGAGAGGCATCTTCATTAGGTGAGGGGCGGGAGGCAGGGAACCAAGGCAACCCCAAGACTGAACAAATTTCCAGTCTACTTAAGAAAGGAAATGCTAGCATAGAGGAGGAATCACCAAGATTGCTTGTGAGAGGAAACAAGCCTGGACCACGGCATGCCATGATTTCTACTGATTTGTAGCTAGGTTTTAAACTTTTTTCCTAAGCCAATTCTTCCAACCATTTCCCCAGACATTTGGATGTGCGTATGTTCCTACATGTGAGTGTGTGGGTGTATTAATTGAGAACAGAGGTTTAGAAACATTTCACTGTTATAGTGATCCAAATCCATGCACATCATATCTTCATCAAAATCCCACTTGTTGCTCTTGCCTGGCAGTGAATATTGCTGGTGAGGATGAGAAGTATAGGTGAGGAGAAAAGGATCCTCCTGGGGTGAGTGGTACATGAAGGGAGGGACATAGCCGTTAAACTCCATAGACACTTTCTCTTCATACAGATCTCCTCCTGCATTTGGCCACAAAGGGTGGCAGCCAGTTTTGGCTACAGGTGGCTCCAGTGGAATCTGTTGGGAAATGGTTTCAGAAGAGGTTTGGGAAGGAAAGAAGTCACAAGGCCAGCCGGTCAGAGAAAAGGGGTAGTTGGAAAAGCAGTTGTCATTAAGAGGCTTTCTCCCTAGAGCTGCATTTTTGCTCCAGGTTTGCAGATCGTCGTAATTCGGGTAGACTCCTGAGACAGAAGGCTGGAGCAGATCTCCGTTGTTGTAGATCCTACTGGTGGGAAATTTGCATTTTTCATAGAACATGGTGGGGTCCAGCATAGAAGCCGGGTCTGCCAGGTTGGTAGGTTCCCCTGGACCATAACTCATGAAGGGGAAGCAATCATTCAGAGAGGTATGTTGGGCAGTGTTAGCTATTAAATGTCCACTGTACGTGCCAGGCAACTGGACACCCTCTTGGAAAGACCAAGTTATAGGCAAACCTGCCTGACTTTGAGTTTCACATGGAAGAGGCTGGAGAGAAAAATGGAAAGCACATGTCAGTAAGTTACATGTCAGTAAGCCAGTGCCCACAGCTAGCACAGACAGTGCGAGCTACTCTGTGCTAGCACACACTTGTCAGACATTCCTCACTCCCCACGTACTTGAAGCGCACTTAGAGCAGTTTTACCACAACCACCCAAGACACAAGGAAGCAAAGGCTTCCTCCATCTCCGCAGGAAGCTGCTGAGCAGGCCCAGCCGAGGGGGATGGCAGGGTGCTTGACAGGTCAAAGCGCCAACACAAATCGGCCACCCTGACAGCCTTTTTGAGAAGCTTACATGAAGCTACTTTAAAAAGTCAAACCAGAGCTGCAAAAATTTGTATTTTACTTAGTATAGCTATCAGGATCTCTGTCTCATTTCTCTACTTGGTTTTTCTGTTTTTATTTATTTATATAATAATTCAATTATTTTTAGTTCCTGTTGGTGTCTGATAGAATGTGATTCTCGGTTTTTGTTTTGTTTTGGTTTTTTTCTTCTGACACCTTTTCTCCCTGAATTTGTAAGAATTTTGTTGGATCATAAATAAGACATGTGGAAAATTTGATTTAAAAATGGAGGAAATGGGGCTAACACTGTTGAATAGCAGGTAAGCTGTTACGTCAGCCTCCCATACAGGCTCTGGTTCAAGTCCAGGCTGCACTGCTTCCCTTTCGATTCCCTGCTGCTGTGCTTGGCAAAGAAACTAAGTTGCTTGGGTCCCTACACCCATGTGGGGGATCAAAAAGGACCCCAGGCTCCTAGTTTCAGACCTGTTCAGCTGCAGCCATTGCGGCCATCTGGGAAGTGAACCAGCAGATGGAAGACCTCTCTCTCATTGTCTTTCCCCTTCTCTCTGTAATTCTGCTTTTCAACTGAAAACAAACAAACAAAAATATCTTTTTTTAAAAAAATAGAGGAAGGACATCTACGAAGGGCTGCCAAATGCACATGTTAGAGGAAAGGTTACCCTCGTGTCTGGGCTCTTCTTCAGCTTTAGGGAGATGGAGGAAGGCACTGTGTGCACCTTCTTCATGGCTCTTCTCGCTTCAGTTTCCAGCTTGGTTTCTGGTTTTGGATGATCATGTTCTCCCTTGGACTTAGAGGAGATGAAGAAACAAAAAGGAAACAAAGTAAGTCACCAGATTACAGCAGATGTGTACTTCTTTGCTCTGTGTCCTGCCACTTGACTTGGTGTGCTATAATTGCCTATCATAATGAACTTGAGTAAATCCAGGTAGCCAGACAGCTCCTCCCTGTCCACCTGCCCATGCTGATGGTGCTACTTCTTCTTGTGGTGCCTCCCACCTACCCAGCTAAGCTACGTAGTAGTGGCAAGCAACACTAAATGGTTCCTTCAGTAAGAACAGGGCTCTTGTCTATACAGTGTGTACTTAATCTCGTGCAATCTTCAGCACAACCACTGAGGTACATCCCATGGTTATTGTAGCAAGTTTACAGAATCTGAAGCTAAGTCACAGAAGGGATTCAAACTTCTGAGTAAAGTCTGCTATTTAATGAGGGACTTGGAATTTTACCCTACCATTCTCCTAGTTAGAACCAATCAAGTTGAAAGCCAATAGTAAAACCATCCAGAAGTTTTTGCGAGCTGATTAATTGTTGAAAATTTAGCTGACAACTTCAAGTCAGCCATGGTGGGAATAGTTACAATCATAGAAATGGACACATATTACAAATAGGGAACCCATTTATCTATAGTCGGCTGGCTAATAGCTAAGGGTCCATTCTTAGGTGCTTCTGTGCAGGTAAAATTAGTGCTTGTTTTACTTACTAGGGAAGGCTGAGCCTTGGGGGAGGAAAGCCACTTGTTCAGAAAGCTTACAGCACAAGTTCTTAAGTCAGAGCTGTGATTTCAAACTCAGTTTTGTGGAAGGCTGCAAACTCAGTGGCAGGCTCAGCACAGCAGGCGAGCAGCAGTGTGTTCACCTGCTGGAACCACATCGGTTGCCAGCTCTCCTCTGGTCCCTAGGCACTCAGCCTGGCTCCTCCCAGGACTCGCCAGGCCCTTAACTCTCCACTGAACTGTGGGATACTAGCATGTGAGCCAGGGGGTGAGCTCCTTCACCTGTGTGTCCCTAGTCTCTAGTAAGGCTCCCCTATTAGGAAATGCTGCCAATATTTGTGAAGTGGAAGAGAAGCAGAAGCACAGAATGAACTCAAATCCAACCTGGAAAAAGATGAAGCGGCCATCATGCCTCCAGAAGTTGGTGACTGGGAAGCCTCCATGGCCTCGGCACGGGATGAGCTTGAGAGGCCCATTGCAGTTGGGACAGCGCTTCCCTGCAAGGCAACAGAGCGAAGTGATCACCTGTGCCACCAGGGCCACCCCGGTGGACCCCTAAGCCTGTCCTACCTTGATGCTTGTAGCCTTGAATCCAAGATAGCACAGAGTAAAACCTGGCCACAGTTTAAGAAAATGTTCTTTAAAAAAACAAATTTAATTCCCTGTTGCCCATTTATCCTAGGAAATGAGGAAATACATATCCTCCATCCATTCTCCAAATGACCACAATGACCATCACTGGACTGGGACCAGAGCCAGAAGCCAAGATCTCAAGTCAGGCCTTCTAGTAGGTGGTAAGAACTCAATTACTTGGGCCCAGCCCAATGACTCAGTGACTAAATCCTCGCCTTGTGAGCAGCAGCATCCAATATGGGAGCCAGTTCATGTCTCAGCGGCCCCTCTTCCTATCCAGCTCCCTGCCTGTGGCCTGGGAAAGCAGTACAGGATGACTCAAAACCTTGGGACCCTCTCCCCATTTACGAGACTTTGAAGAAGCTCCTAGCTCTTGGCTTCTGATCAGCTCAGCTCCAGACATTGCAGCCACTTGGAGTATGAACCAGAGGATGAAAGATCTTTCTCTCTGTTTCTCCTTCTCTCTGTAAATCTGTCTTGCCAATAAAAAGCAAAAACAGAAATAAACAGACAAAAAACCCAACTACTTGAACCATCACCTGTGGCCTGTGGGATCTGCACTGCCAGAAAGCTAGAAATGGAAAGCAGAGCCAGGAAACAATGCCAGGCACTCTGTTATGGAATATGGGCTTCCTAACAGATGCCTACCCCATGGGTGGTTTCAAGGGCTGCTATCCACTGGGTATCAGCTTTGACCCTAGGAGGGCTGGCCATGATAATGATCCTAATTAGGCTCACACATGGATAGAGTTAAGTAAGCAGTTGCCTATCAACTGGGGTGTTTCATTGGTCAGTTTGGAAGCATTTTCCTAAGCAGAGAATCTCTCGCTACCTGCTTGCTGGTTCTTGAAACTTTGGCAAAAAAGAACGGGAAATTCACTTACTTCACAATAAGAACTAAGGGTCAAGAGCAAAGCCTCATGGGAAAGAAAACTCAGCCACAGTATTGTCACTAAAGTTCAAATCAATGATAACAGCTCTGCCCTAATAGCCAGGGTTGAAATTATATGAAGTAACTTGAGCTCTGACATGGAGTAAGATACAGGGAACCTACTGAATATATTTATTTTTATAGTCTACAGAATGATGTGATTTGTTAAAAACAAAATCTCAGCATATAATGAGCCTAGCTGATGGCAGACTTGAGTTTAAATTCATATTGGTCCCACTGTTTTTACTCCAGATCAAAAAGCATTTGTGCAGCTCTCTAAAGGACCAATTTGCTAATCAATTCATGCTAGTCCTCTGAGTAATGCATCTTCCTTTTAAAAGGGACCTTGAGTTAGTGCCTTAACCCAAGGAAGATGTTTATTGATGGGTACTCCTGCCAAATGAGCTCTGGCAGACAAGGGGCCTGGCAGCTTCCTTCTCAACAAGCTGGATGTGTTGCAGCAGCCTTTCTTTCAACTACACTCCTCTGACTTGGTCCTTGGGGGTATGCCAGGACATACAGCCTATCAAATAAATGTCACGTTCCCTGCCATTGCTGCCACATCCCACTCACGTTGTTGCTTCTGCCTGGCTTTGTCACAGATTGCAGGTCTCAGGTAGATCTTGTGACCCTCTTCTGTAGAGCAGTTGTGGCCACACACCACCACGCCAAGGCATGACTTTTTGAGGATGCGGGAGTTGTGGTTGTTGGTATTGCGCATGGCCCAGCTGCTCAGATGCCGCTGCGCATTCCGGTCATCAGAGCTGTAGACATGCTTCACATAGGAATCAGGCCACTCCTGGAACAAGTCGATCTTTTTCACATTCTGATAGAGACAAAAAAGAATGCTATTTTAGTTTCAGCTAGAAAAAAAAAAAAACAACAACCGTCCACCACTGTGAAGTCAACAGACATGGAGCATCAGGGACTGAGCAAGAGGGCAGGCAGTTGACCAAGTGGTTAAGTTGATGTTTGGGACACCTGCATCCCACATTAGGATGCTTGGCTTCAAGTCCCTGTTTGGGCCCTGGTTCTAGTTTCCTGCTAATGCATACCTGGGAGGCAGCTAGCAGTGGCTCAAGTATGTGCATTCCTGCCACAAATATGGAAACTCCATGACTGAATTCTTGGCTCAGCCCTAACTGTTGTGGGCATTTGGGGAGTGAACCAATGGATGTCTGTGGGTTTAACTCTGCACCTCTCCAAAAACCAACAACAAATGAGATGAGCAAAAGATCTACCTAAATTTGATCCTGACAGAGTACACAGCATCATGGTGGTCAAGTGACTGCTGTATTCTTGAGGATTTGGACACTGGACCAAAATGGGCCATGAGTTAGCCCCACTGATTGGGGCTGATTGATGTTTTCTCTGGCTTATGGTGATCAAAGTAATGAGTATTTTTCAGTAGAATCTTTGAGGGTGAAGCAACATTATGCTGTTACACAATAATGGTGGAAGGCAGTGTGGCAGCATGGTAAGATAATGGTTCATTCCACGATCACTAGAGATAAGCAGTGGAAAAACCGGAATGCCCTGGTTCAGGAAGACAGAGAGCAGGATCCTCCCCTGTGCAGATTGTCTAGCTCTATATTCTGAGTTTTTTGACCGAAAGCTTCTATTGCTCTTGCCAGGAGTGGCACTGTTTCTTGGGGCTGCCCGTCTGGTTAACCTCTCCTATAAAAGATCAGCCACAAAGAGAACTAGTGTTCAACACACAGACTTCTGGCTCTGCAAGATAAGAAAGTTTTGGAGACCAGCTGCATACCCATACGCAAAATGCAACCACTACTATGGTGTCCATTTAAAGCAGTTAAGTGATAAATGTTCTGGCTTTTTTTTTTTTACTACAATAAAATAAAAATAATCACAAAAATCATAATAATGAAAGATTGGTAGCACAGGGCATTCAGTTCTTATAGGTTGTTTGTTTTCATTTACCAAGTAGGGATACCGAGCTCTACCTAACACAAAAGATGCTCCAAAGATTAAATACGATAATATATATGAAACATACAGCAAAGCACTTTGTGTGCTGTGAGCTCTGAAAGGTAGCTGCTGTTGGTCTGGCTTCTCTTGCATTGAGTCTCTGCATTGTGGCAGAGAAACTGTAGCTGACAGATCCTGCCTGGTTCTTAGGGTGAGGCTCATCAAGAAGTTCGGCATCAAATCGGCTGTGCCCAGTGTGTGGCTTTCAGACAGAGGTCTGGAAGGGCAGACAGGTCCCGAAAAAGAGATTAGAGTGCCTGTCCTCTGCTTTCCCGGGAAAAAAAACAGCATAGAGAGGATTTGTGAATGTTCTTGAGAGGAAGAGATGATGAAAGCTTAGAGTTATAAAATGCTGATTAAAAAAATAAAGGTAGAAGAAGGCATAGATGAGCTAGAGGTTAATTTTCTAAAATATTCTAAAAAAGTTTATTTACTTATATCAACACACCTGTCTCTTACATGTAAAGTACATTCATTCACACACAGGTAAGTAAAATTGTCATCCTTGTGAAAAAAAATAAAATGCTGATTATCCTGATTTGATCATTGTAATACTTTCACATCCTACCTTATAATACATTAAAATTAGGGATCAATTAAACATAAATAAACTAATAATGATAAAAGAAAGTACAGCCGAGAATATGAGAATATGGTGCAGCGGGTCAAGCTGCCGCCTATGATTCCAGCATCCCTTCTCCAGGCTCCTGGCTTCAGCCTGGAGCAGCCCCGGTCATTCTGATTATCTGGGGAGTAAACCAGCAGATGAAAGATCTCTCTCTCTTTTTATCTGTGTCACTCTGCCTTCTAAGAAAAATAAAATGCATCTCTTATAAAAGAATATGAGAAAATACAAAAGATCACAGAAGGAGAACACAGCTTTGATTGAGTAAAACTTCAAGTTTCGTCAGTGCCAGAGAACTTTATCACATGGGGCTCTAGACAAGGGACGTGGACTCTGAAGTTTTGTTTTGTGCTTCTCTGAAGTGGAACATTGATAAAACCTGCTTCCCAACAGTGCCATGAAGAATACATGTATCGTACGCAATAGAGCCTCTAGCACAATATCTGTTGGAAGTGGCTGCCACAGAAACTGAAGTGGGAAGTTTCGTGTCTATGGGAAGTGGATTATTGAGTGGTTTAGAGCTGAGGACTGCAAACTAAGACCTGTGGGACAACTTCAGACCCTGTTGGATTTTGTAAATCAAGTTGTATTGAACCACAGCCATGTTCACTGTTTCAGTGCAGTTCATGGATACATTTACATTATATATGCATTAGGAAGCATGTATGAAAACCAAATGAATTAACACACACAAAGCATAACTGCCTGGCACAGAGTTGTCTGTCGGCTAAAGTGGAGGTCATACTCAACTGACCAGTGTGACTGCATGGCCACTGGCTTTCAGGAGCGAGATGACCCAAGAGAGGGCACATCACACTGTAATCCTTGCCAAACTGAATGCGAGACAGAAATCCAAAATAAAAGCTTGTATGCTACACCTCTTGACTTCTTAGCGCAATGAGAGACTGGCCCTAGGGAGCTCTATTGTGATGGCTGTGTTACAGAAAGGGGAACTAGCCAAGAAGATGAGGGGAAGAGTGTAAGTTACAGGAGTGGAGGACATATACACTCAGGTCAGACAGCCTAAGTAGCTGGTCCTGAGGCAGGTGCAGCCAGATGGCAATGCTGATGGTCCCGTCTGCCTCTGCCGGAGCTTTCCCTCTCTCATTCAGTTCCCCAGTAATCTTTAGCTAGGTAAGGGCTAATGCCTGGGGTAGGACATGCTCCCTGGGCACCACCCGCTCCCGCTCCCTCCCTCTCTTTCTTCTTCTTCTTCTTTTCTTTCTTCCTTGTTCTGACCAAAAGCCACAACAAGTGCTTTCTTTTCTGTCACAGAAATGCCTCTGAAAGCAAGATAATTTATCTTTTGAAAGAATGAAAATGCAGGTTAAGCATTAAAACTCGTCATCAGTAATTTGGACTATAAACGTCCACCAGTAGATCTGGCTTGTTCCTCCCACAAAGAATGCCAGGATGGTTGAGACAACGCCACTTAAAGGGAAGCTGAGCTTTTCACCTTTTTAAGACAAGTGGCCCTTTAGCTGCTGGGAGCCACTAAGCCCTTGGGTCAGGCAGAGGGGAAGGTTTTTGGGAGAGGATCTTAGATATTCCAACTTTGCATGTGGAAGAAGAGATGGTCTCCAGTCTTGGAAGTCATTTTTGTTGACAAGCTCCTCTGCTGTCATGCTCCTCCCCATCCCATGTTCCTGCTCTCTGCAAATTGTGGTAAGGAGTTTGACAACGAGAGATGAGTTTGGCTTTAAGAAAATGACACAGATCCAATGCATTCGCCTCAAGCCACTCTTGTGCCTGTCTATGCCAAATCTGTTCAGTTAGACATTCAGAGGGATCTCTGACATCTTTGTACATCCAAATGAAGAGAAAATTCAGAGCCTCGGTCAAATGGATGACAGCACTGAGTATCAAAGAGACAAAATTTAAAAAGAAAGAATAATCATTTCTTAATCTTATGTAGCAAAACCCTATAAAATAGTTTCTCCATTTTAGAACTTTTGTTTATTTTAATTTCTAACTCTTCATGAGTAACTCTTTGTTTTTCCTCTTGGTTAAATAGTTTATAATTGAAAGGGAATATTCCTAAGGTTTCCAACAAGTAAATCTTACTAATTTATATTTTATAGTCTCAAGGGTCTGATCATTGAGAGCCTGACATTTTTGTGCATTATTTTTTGCCAAGATATTTATCCTCCAATGCATTCAAAGTCTCTGAAACTCTACACAATCATAGGCATCCTTTACATTATATTTATTTTCATTTACTTAACCACTTTTTAAATATATTGATATCAGAACACTTAAATATATGCTATTGCATAGCTAATGATAAAATTTCTAAAAATAATGCATCAGTGTCTACATTATTGTTATTTGACAAAAGTAGATTTTCATTCATACCTTTAGTTCATATAAAGCAAATAGCTAAACAGTTTTTAAAGTTAGATGAATGGTTCACTAATTCCTTCTAAGTGTTTCTAAATATAATAGGAGTAACAAATAGAACATCTCTAAGCATGTCGAATACAAAATTAAATGCTGCTTATGAGAAGGAAGGAAAAAATAAAACATCATTTTGATTAAAAAATGTGCACACTTTTTAGGAACTTACTGGTCTGGACCAACCAGAAATCAAACTTCAGGTAACATCAAGGAGAAAAACTCAAACCACTCAAAAACCTTTATCCACATGTATCAGCTCAAAAATTACTCCTTCAACTAATCCTGCTTTTTCCTAGCTTAGTTAAAGGACCAAGACTAGGGGCAAAGTTCGTTTTTTGCTCAGAAAACAGAAACTAGGTCAAGTTGTACCAGGACAAAATTGTCTGCCACTTACCTCTTGCGTTTTCTCTTTTTGCTTTCTCCATTCAACTAAGCAAGGGACCTGCTGCTGGGTACACAGCAGAAACTGCCTGCACAGATGCAGGAATAGTCCCACCCACATCACACAGAGCACGAAGAGGTGAAAGAATCCTGGCCCTCATCATGGGGGCCTCAGTGAGTACAGGAGCCCAGAGAGGTCAAGCTGTCCTGGGGACGACCTTGAGGCCAAGGATAATGCTGAGTGCCAGGGAGGAAGCCATGGCTGTGTCCTCAGGCCAGTGACAATGTGACCCTATCACACAGTTCAATTATGATTGACATGAAATCTCGAAGATGCCTTCCCTGTTAGCCCAGTAGCACTGGAGCACCTCTGATTACTGCAGTTGGCTCATTCCAATCACAACCAACCACGAACATTCTTTGAAGGAACTCAA